TTTAGCAGGGATCTCAAAAGTTTTGAATTTACGCCCATTTAAGTAAAATGTTCTTTAAGTTGCATTCATGTTCTAACATATAGAATGAGCGTTTGAATCTCCCCCAATCAGCGGTAAAATTCACTTCAAACCATTCATTGTCTATTTATACGGGAGCCTAAACCCTTACAAAATCTCAATCAGAGATATCGCAAGAAGTGTCTAACGCTGAGTCGTGATGGTTTTCAAAAATAATTTGTCCGGATTCTTCTCAAGTTCTTCAAACTCTTGAGTGTTTTCCTTCGGAGTGAACTGACGGCTTATGGTCGGCCGGTTTGGGAGGTAAACGGCGATCGGATACTGTCCGAAGTTAACCGCGGCGTGAAGAGCAGAGGCCACCCAAATAATTATAGTGCAAGTCTCCATGAATTCTTCACGGTTTTGCATTTTTGGCCACCAAGGTTCTGACTTTTTGTCCCTGTGACCTTCCCCGCGCAACTCCTTCCACCAAGCTTGGAGTTCGTGGTTGTTTTGAACATCCTCGTCTGTCTTGTAATACAAGAAAATATAGTTTTGAACATCCTACGTTCGGGTATCGTGTCGTTGTAATGTTTGTGATTTTGTAGATCGAAAAGAAATTTATATATTTTAAAAAAATTTGAATGTAAAATTTATTGAAATCAATCCATGTTTACTATAAATGCATCGTGAGTTTGAAATCTAGAGAAGTTCCAAAAAGGCAAAAAAAACCTAGCTTGTGAGAGTAAACCGATCTTCTCTTATTTATTGGGTTTGAAAGGGGAAACTGCAAAACTATCCCATAGTGATAATCCCATATTACTACCACCTTCAAAGACAATGTTTTATGTTTCCTCCTACATATTCTCGTGGTCTTGGAACCTAAACAGTATGCAAACTGGTACTGAAACTTGGTATTTAACTGTTCCCTTGCCCCGTAGACACCTATAGTGTAAGTCCCCAAGCTCAGAGCTCTCTCCTTTGATCTCGATATTAAGGTCTTTGAACCCACGTCGCGTGAAGACCACTCGTGTTGATGAAGAGATGGGAACAGAACCGGGTACTTTGATACATCAAATATCCGCTCCATCCTTTTTCACATCTATCTTTACAATAACTTTGATGTTTCCTGCCACTATTTTTTATACAGTAGCCTCGTCAATCGCAAACTTATAGTAATCATATTGTCCTTCTTCAACCGTTCCGGATTCGGATTTCTCCAAAAGGAAGCACACTGATTCCTTGTGATTAGTCAAAAGAAACGTACACAAAGAAGAAAATATACAAAGAAAGCTGCCATCAAATCAAATTATGATACGAATTGTTGTCATTTTCATCCCCGGAGAAATTTTGTTTCTTCATTCCTCCTACCTTCCCCACAATGTAATTTGTATTTCGAGATTAAACCTA